CAAAAAAATAAAATATTTCATGCAATGGGCAGAAATGTATTTCAGCAATGCATCATGAAAAAACTGATCTAGGCAACAAATGGATTCAAGGATTCTCAAACTGTTGTCTACATTTGGCTTCATATGACCTGTAGCATCACATAACACACAATTAATACCAATACATGCTTAAATATGACATTAATTAAGTTAGTTTTAAAAATGCAAAATTGAAGTCGAAATTTTATGATACAGGAGTTCCACATTACAGATGAGACTTAAATGTATATTTAAGTATACGATAATTACAAAATAGTTATTCAATGGCAGTTTCTGTTATGTATTTAGAATTTTGTCAAGTGGCTTGTAGAATAAACAAGAAAGGAAAAGTGTGGGAACACTTGGAATAAATCCTAGCAAAATCTTTACAACTACAATAATTATAAATCATAGTACAGCCTGAAATACAGAGGATTCAAGGGTTTTGCTACACTGCCCCTATAGTTTATCACTGCTTTAACCCTTTTCATTACAAAGATTTCTTTTCAGTTATCTACTTTGTTTCCCCAGCTTAAAACCCTGGGTGAAAATCTGGTTCTCTGAATGTTAGAATTTAATTGGAATATATTGCGACAATCAACCAGTTTATTGTCTTTCAGGATAGAGAAATAATATGTTTATTTATTTATTGTTTACTTAATGATGCTCTCAGTAGTTTGGACTATGCAGAGTGATGTGGCAGAATAATTAACAAATTATTCATTGGAAATGGATGTGAGAGGAAGTCATCATAGCCTATATCAAGGTATTATTCCAACATCTACCTGAATGACCAAGGAAAGCATGAAAAACGCAGGTTAGACAGGAGAGTTGATATTCTGGATGGGTTTCAAACTAGGCATCTCGCAAATACATGTCAGAAGCACTATCACCATAGCTGGCTTGTTTGGTGTGGAATACAATATTCTCTTCCTGCTGCTGTCTACTATCCTGAACTGTATGGATGAAAGTTTTCAATTCAATGGTATAACAAATATAGAACTAATGGATTCTATTATGAATTTGAACATCCAGGGAAATAAGCAAGAAGTTCTGGACTAAGTTAATCATTCCTCCTTCCTCTGAATGTGGTGTTAAGGTATTTTCTTTCATGATTACATGTGTTCTATCTACTGCCACTTGCAATAAAATGGTAATGAATGATATGAAACTATATCTTAAATTGCCAAAGTCAGTACATAAAGACATGAACTACAGCTAATCATGACAAAATAGCTCTACATACTACTGACTGCTTTCATGAAATATAAAATATTACATGTCCCTCCAAAGTTTCTGCCATTATCGCGATAATATTTTTGTGGAAAATTTTTAGCCATGTTAATAATACTTTGGCATACCAATGTAAGAGTTCACCAGGTACTGCTACTGAAACTAATATTAATGATAATTACCATTATGTATTGCCTGTTTATAACAAAAACGTTCACAACACAAGTCTGCAACAGGGGCTTGTTGTAAATTAAAGAAAATGCTAATTGATTCCATAAACCAAGTTTTTAAGAAAAGCAGCTCATTGTACCATATGTTTGGAAAATTATTTACTTGATATTCATGATATCTATTCAAGAAAAGAGAAGTAAAACAGTAAAGGTATCCCTGTAACAGGCCATTGAGGCCCATAGGGTTGTGAGACATCAAGGCTCCCACATCTTCTAGACAATCGGCTCATAGATGGCGGCAAGGCTGTCAGCCCTAAGAGACAGCCACCCTTTACCCACAAGAATATTCCAAGAATATTCCTGGTACTCATTTCTGTTAGATGCTGAGTCAACACAAGGGCCATAGTGCGGCTGGAAGGATTAGGTCAATTGAAAAAATCCAGTGACCTCATCAGGACTTGAACCCATGACCTTCCCCCTTGTAGCATAGTGAATTAAAAAGAGAACTGATAAAAATTACGTTAACTTAAATTCTATTATATTCTAAAATATTCCTCTTTGTACAAAACTGTTTGTCGATGATGAAGTGTAGTTATTTCATTAAGATCTTCAACTTCGATCTGGACACTTACTCATGTTTATTTATATTTAAAGAGCAAAATTTCAAAGCATACCAAGGTTAAAATACCAGGTTACTATAAAAGAAATAGACACATTCAACTTTATATAGAACCAAAGCCGGTGAACAAGTAGAGACACAATATGCGTAGCAGCATAAACATGGGATGAAAGTTTTTGTGACGGCAGCTTTTCGTGACGTCTCAATGATCTGAAGCAACGTATCACAACAGTTGTTGCAAGTGCTGACAAGGACATGCTCGGTGTGTTTGGAATGAATGGGATTGTCATACTGATATCTGTCATGTGAGAAAAGGCTCAGACATAGAACATTCGTAACTTTGTCATACAAACTTAAAGAAATATACTCAAAGAACATGTAAGTATTTTGGCTATATCAATAATACTTTGGTTTCTATAAAACGTTGAAAGTGTAAATCAGTAGATTTATATTAAGATTTTCACATGCAAACTTGCAGTTTGTGACCAAATATAACACAGATTTTATTCCTTCAAATACCCATCAAAAAACTATCTGCACACATTTTCATTAACATGCCAAGAATTTTATTAAAAGCTTCTAAAAATGTTAAATGCACAGATGTTTATTCTGAACATTTTATCACTAATTTTTAATACAGATTTTCTCAACAGTTCTTTAAAAATCTGACAAATTTGAGAAGACGAAAGACAGTGAAGAGACAGAAAGGAAGAGATAATGCACCTAAAAGATGTCTTTTCTTCTGTTCACATAAAGATGCCCAAAATTCACTGCAACATGACTGCCTTTCAAGCTCTATGATGAAACATAACATTAAATTCGATTATTCTAGAAGAAACATAATACAGGCCTCCAAATCACTACTAATGGAATAAGAATTACCTTCTTACATTCGGACATGCATTTATGAAAATAAGGTCTGTCATCAAAGGCCTGTCTACAAGATATGCCAGAGACTAATTGCTCCCTTACACAGCACTTGAAACCTCACCTCTTGGTACGTTGTATCATACTGACAAATGACCACATCAGTGTGCCTAACATTACACACAGTAGCAGTATGTAAATATACATCTACTGAAGAAATATTATTTACAGCGATGTATGTTGGAAAGCAGAAAACTAGCTTAGTGATATTTTCAGGGGGACACTTAATACCAGGAACGCTTGGAGGCACTGAATATGACATATAATGCTTTCAGTGCCTGGATTCTCCACATCTTCTTACTTTCCTCTTCAAAAAACTTAAAAGATGAGTTTATTAACATATATTGTTTAGAAATAGAGGGCTCTTATAGGAAAATAGACCACATCAGAGACCAAACAATCAGACAAGAACTAAATATATTTAACGTCCTACACAAAATAGGTGAAACCAAACAAATCTGATCCACAACCTTGAAAGAATGAATGAAAGCAAATTACAAAAAAGGCAGAAGAAGGAAAGGTGGATCACATAGAAGATGAAAGAACCAATTTTGATTTGAACCTTGGAGTCAGAACAATCTAGCAAGGAAGTTCTTGTAGACGAAGATGACAACAATGACAATTAAATTTTTGACTTAATGAAACTAAATACCCTGTTGATGTGGCCTACACCAACCTATGAATGATGTTCTTCATTGTTATTATTATAAAGTTATTTCTGAACTTTGGTAAACTGTAGAATAAGAAGCCACTCATCATGCTTCCAACTGGGCTGATTTAGCAGTCTACGCTAATTAACCTGTCCTAAACTAATCTGACTTCCTATCAAACAAGGAGCTGAAGAGAAACTATTTAACTTGCAGATGATCTAAATTAACCTAAGTTAATGATTCAAAGTTTATATAACTTTAAACATATACAGATACTGGAAGCATTTGCCTACTAATAACACACAACTAGGGTGTGCAAATAGTTTTGCAGCTGGCTATCTCTATCTTAGATATTTTGAGAATACTAAGTAGAATCTATTGTTTGGAGTTCTAATTAGTCATGACACACAAAAACTTATTGCAAATCCTACAAAATGTTTATATGAAGACAAGATAAAGGGAAGGGCAGAAAGACCTACAGTATGATCCTTCCTTTTGCTCACATAACAAATGCCAGTCTATCTCTCCAACCCATCAATCAGTTTAGACTTCACTGAAGGTTAAAATTTCAAAACAAATATTTCGCCCACTCTGCCCCTACTAAGTCAACTGAATTTAATAATGTTCTAATCAATGTGGATTATATAATTAAGACTAAGCCTATATATAATAAAAGCTGTTATTAAAGTACTAAAATTTTCAAAATTATAGATCAATATGAGTGTAAAAACATTTATAAATTCAGCACATCAAATTTTAAAGTTCAATAATAAATGTCACTTTTTTTTTTTTTGCTGTAATATGAATCAGAGTTGAGAGAAGTAATATGTATGCTTTTATCAAAGCAAACAAACCTATACAGTGCCAAAATATCATACAATTTTTTCCTGTACATCTTGGACTTGTGTTATTGCCAGCGTGTTTCTTCTGCAATTAACGTGAAAAATTATTACTTGCAGTGATTATCTTTCATGGTAAAACTAAATATTGCTTTAATATCTTAGTAAGTCTTATTCAAAGAAATTATATATTATTAATTTTAATTAAGTGATCAAAATACTGTGCAAAATAATAAATATTTTGTCAGCTGTGAAAACTGTGTGCAAACAATTCGGGAATAGACAACACATGTGAAGGAACAGATCACACTGCAATTTTATTAACAGACTGACTGCTTTATCATCACACACAAACATTCTAATTTGTTTCAAATGGTTTTTAATTTACAACAGCATAAAATACATATGTAAATATTAGATGCTAAACAACAAAGAGTGGAACTGCACTCATGAGAGTTCAGTTGTGAACTGAGCTCACAGTCACACAAGACAGTGCTGTTGAGTGTAGTAATTCAGTGCACTGTTACTATCTGCAAATACACACCTTTTATGTGAGTTACCATTCCCGCCTGATATGCTGCATAATATGAGAAGTACATTACTAGAATTAATACCAACTTAAAATTAGTTAGCCAGACCAGAGTTTTTTATATCAGGGTTCTGTTTAAGAGAATGGCTGTATATCTCTTTTGTAATTTCTTACTTTATTTAGTTTATCAGTTTGTCAGTTTGATGTAAAACTAATTGAAATTAATAATTGTTCTGCTTTTTAATTTTTTCTAGAAAAATAATATATGATCTTTATCAATAAAGAGCATATTATAAAATAATTTAATTTCAATTTTAATATAGGTTAATATGAGCATTATTTTGCATTCTGCAAAAACATAACCATGAACAACGAGCTGTTAAATCAGAAGTTTATAGGGAATGTAATTTTAAGCTGCTCAAACATACTACTCTAGCAGTTTTCCACGTGTATTAAAAATCATTGAAACCCACATAGTTTTTTTAATACAAGATGAAATTAACTCCCAAAGGTGGGCTGCTGGTAACAGTGATCTTCTACCCTAAAGATGGGGGCAGCAGGTTCATCCAAAACATTGGTACCTATCTACCAAACTACATGGGGTCACATCCAAGAAGAGCATAATTTCAATATTTTAGATGCTTTGTAACTTCCATCTGCCCTCCCTCTACATATCTGCTACTCACAAAAAAGGAATTGAGAGAAGAAGAGGATGAAATACCTTAAATAATATACCAGCAACTTCACTGAGTACTTATAGTTAAAATTTTGTAATGAAAAGAACATTGCTTTACTGTATACTCATGTATAACTATGAAATGTAGCAAAATCCTTGAAAGCAGGAAAATCATAAATGAAATCTACACAAGGTTTCTCAGTATAGAAAGTTTACTTGTAGAGTTAAATTGTTACAACCAGGGCTCTTGAAACGCATTTTCTAACTTATCATAGGTACAGGGAGAGGTAGCAGGTGAATTTTTAGCCTCAAACTAAATATAGTCAAAATGTAACAAACAAGTCATTTTACTTTCAAGTGTATGACTCAAACACGCATTAATATACAAATTATTTGGTTTCTTGCTCATAACATATAAGTTTCAATGCTGATTCTTTAAAACCTCCAGTAAAAACATTTGTGTGAAATATAGTGAGACCATCAGTGAGTGAGTTTCATCAAATGGCCAGATACAAGTTTACTTCTGGAGGCCTGGTTGCAACAATACCATTGAAAGTTAATGACAGCCTCAAAGATACAGCTTATAATTCTTAAAATTGAAATATTTACAGGGGCATTTACAGAGGAGCTTCACAGAAATCCAAGCAGGAAATGTATTACTTCAAAGGATTTATTGAATAATTGTATCATACTTTAAACTGTATTATGTTATTCATTATGCGTACATAAGGTACTGTACTCTATCTACAACTATTCATGCTTTAAAGCAAGAGTTTCATGATACCAAGCTGGGCCTCAAAATCAAATGAATATTAAATTCCCTGGTAACAGAAGAAAGAAAATTTTCTTTCTAGGTAGGTCATTGAGGGGCTAATTATATAAGCTGAAACTTAATTTTAGATTGTGATTTGAAAAGCACATACCTGAACTCAGTGGTAAATATTCAAGTTTGGCTGGTAGTGCTCCACCACGCCACTAAAACTGGAAGAATATAAAAAAGGGACTCTTCTGCATTCAATAAAATGTCTAATGTTTTGCTGCATGCATTTTGTAGCTTCTGCATGCCACAGCGTTTCTTAGATTCACATGCATCAGGACAGGGAAATAGGTAGATTAACTGCTTGGCTGCAAGTCCAAAAAAAAGTGCTTTCACTCATGCATCACAGTAAGAAAATAATTGAATAAAGAGAATCCAGTTGTTAATACTGTCAGTTTGTGTGTTCGCATTTCTGCACATCACAAGTTCCAGACAAGGCATCATGGCACATTAAATAATTATTTGATTTGTTTAACTATATATGCAACTTCTGTATTTTTTCCAAAATCATGGGCTCTTAGAGAGCTGTATAACTGCCTTCTGGGAGAAATTATAAGCTATGCATCACAGAATGAAGTGAATAAAGTTATTATTTGGAGCAGTATTCCTTCACACCTTTCTTTGGATCCAGTGGGTATAAACGAGGAAAAAATAATCATTCAGTATGAGGGATGTTCAAAATTTACTCACAATATACTTCCTCAAAAATCCTACAATTATCCCAGCAAATAATAAAACCTGGATGAAATGTGAACACCCCCTAGTTCTTCATTGTAAGACTGTCAAAGAGTGTCACTATATTATATATACTTAATGTAAATTCCTGTTGTTTAATTTCATACACATTGCTTGGAAATTTCTTGGAAGCTCCTAGAGAGTGAGTGTTTCATTGTGGGTATATATTTCAAAGCAAAATTATAAACTAATTATTCAAATTACTAACCTGGAGGCATCAATGAAATAGATAATTAGCGATGCAATACTGAGAATGAACACCAACACCACCTGGAACACCAAAATCAGCAATCACAATCTAATACACTGTAGATGTATACAAATATACCTCTCGCACAATATTCAGACAATTTCAACTCAGATCTAATGTGATATCCAAACACAGAGATGTGTTAAAATTCCAAGAATATCAACAGTACTCTCTTAATATTTAATGATTGGGTATTTAAGATCTGAGGATTATTTAATTAGAATACAATTTATTCTAAAACACTCCATAAATGTATCTTAAATAGTTATTCTTGTATAGGATTCTTAAAAACAGTTTGTTGATCTGTTGTTTCTTGGTATATTTAATTACTATCAACTGTAGACTATGGAGTGTTGATCATGAATGTAACAACAAAGGAAAATAAAAAGATTCACTGATGCATAAATAATCAACAAAACTTTGTTTAATTAATTAGAACTTGAGTAGTCCTCAAAAGATATTTTCTTATGGTGAGCTTAGTGTGATTCAGGGCAGCAAAAATATAGCTTAATCACTTAAAAAAATTCACTCAGCCATAGTCTCACAGTGTGCTTCATACAAATATTACTATATTTGCCACCAGTCTCCATTAACTCACTCACTGCAAATGGGCAGGCAGATCTCTAGAGCACTGAGGTAGTGAAATGAAAAAGATTTATATGAAATCGATTTAAAGCACACACATCATAAACTAAAAATTCATACAAAAGTTTCACTGGGAGACTTGTGAAGCCAAGAAGCGCAAGAAGTAAAATGGGAGGATCATATTACGACATGACGCCTGAAAGGCAAAATAGCGGAGCCAGGGAGAAAGCCTTTGCTAGGGAGTGGCTAGGTAAACAATTCATCTCCGCGACACCAGTGACATTACGCAACAATAGGATAGCTGAGGGAAGTGTGACTTCCACACAGTCTGGCACCAAGCAGATAGTGCCACTACACTGGAACAAGTGGTACCACAGCACCCGTATCAACAGAAGAACAGTGTCTTTGTTTGGGTCCATTTGGAAGCTAATCTGGAGCATTGAAACACAGCTGCTGAGAGATCCATACATATATCATTGTATAACAAAATTATGGAAGCAACAAGCAGAAGTCATACAAAATCATGAAAATGCAAATGTTTGCAACATTGGACAAGGCGAACCCTGACAAAGAAAATATAAGAGCTTAAACTTGGCGGCGGTCAAGCATACGACCATTCAAGTAACTAGACTGCCATTGTAGCAGGGCCTATTAATGATAGGGCATGATCTGCTATGCTAAGCCTGGATTGACAGAGGTCTTGCATACATTTAATAACGTAAAATGTAAATTGTACATGCTGACAACAACCTTATTACTGCTGGCTGTGACTCTGGTAAACAACAAGCCTGAAACTGTCATACAGTAATAAAGATCTGGTCTTAAGTCCCAGATGGGTGCTTTCTTCCAAGACAGACTGGCCGACTGTTGGTCATAACACAAGTTCTTCGACTTTTAAGCCCAAACGATAAACCCAGTGCAATTATATACTGTTTAGAGAATTAGTTCATGGAGCATAATTTGTGTGACTGTGACCGCAGGCAACAGGTGGCTACAGTTCAAGGCCTGCTAGCTACCATTCAGGAGGGCACTTTCCAACCCTATGATGTCTCTAAAGAAAGACAATAACTAAAATTAGGAAAGGCCAGTGGTTTAGATGACATTCCAAATTACTGTTTCCGGCATCTTCCAAGAAGGCCTCTTGTTCATTTAACACATTTATTTAATTACTACTTTCAGATCAGTCACATCCCGACTCCTTGGAAGGAAGCAGAAATTATAACTCTGCCAAAACCTGGCAAAGACCCAAAATTTCTCCAAAACCTGCGTGTGAAAGTACTTTCCACAGCAAAGATTGCAAAGTTTTATAAGTTATATAATAATTTTATGACGAAGTAATAAGCTGAAATTAATATAGTTACTACGTACTACATGAAATCCCACACAACTTAGTATTTCATCTCTACTGCCAGGTATAGAGAGTCAGACACTAATAGGTCAGTGAACTGTAGTTTATGAAGAAGGTACTCATATATTATTCTGTCTGGGAAGTAAATTTGACTGAGTTTGGAATATAAAATAAGTGTGTTTGGTTAATCAAAAGGTGTGTACATGAGATTATTAGTAGAGTTCATAAACATGAACATTTGTGTGAGGCATTTCCAGTTCACAAGTGGAAAGTTTAACACCCCCACCACACCCATTTTTAAATCCTGCTATAGAATATGACATTAAGAATCTGAGGGATTCAAGTTTAGTTTGATGAACTGTTTTTCTAAGAAACTGACAAATTTCAATGTGTGATTTTCTGAGAAGTAGTGAGCCTGCAACGGGGTCCACTCAGCCTTGTGAGGATAATTGAGGAGCTAGTTCAAGAAAATAGAGGCTCTGGTCTAGAAAACCGAAATTAACGGCCGTGGGGATTCGTTGCGCTGACCACGCGTCACCCTCTATCCGCTAAAGTTGGTACTAACTTCGCTGACAAGCGGCGGTGCCTCGGTCGGTATAGTTCGCTTGCGGATTCAAGCCTCGGAATTTGTCTGGTTCCTTTGAAGTAACACTTACACTGGGCCAGTACGAGCCAGAATTACATTAGTTGAAAAATAATTCTTGCTCAGTACCCCATACCAAATTAAGTTTAAATTCGTTGATTACACATATGGGCGGGCGGACTGATACGACTTCGGTATTACACATTCATTTTACTTGGTAAAAGGAATAAAATTGAATTGTAATTCAACTTCAAAGTAATAAACTGAGATCACAGGCGTAGGACAATTTGTAGGAGTCACATCTGTCAAACGATAAATCCTCTGGATATCTTTGCCCAGTGGATGAACATTTTGAGGGTGAGCGTGCAGAAGTGTATAATAAGTGTGGAACGACGCCAAACAGCAGTCAGCAGGTGCCAATAACCCCCACGTGGCCCTTCATATCTGAGCGAGAACACAGTGCAGTGCAGTGCAGTGCAGTGCACTTCGTAAAAGAACAACGGAGAGATCTCAGGAACATTCAAGTGTCTGCCTATTTCACGGACCCTGTTAGCCAGATCCTTTATCTTCCTACACATACCAAACTGCGCCCGACATTGTCTGTCTATCTATCTCGTACATCCTTCAGTCCTCCTTAGGATTTTTATGCACGCCTTCAAATTTAGTGTTGTCCACCCAATATACTTCTCGTTACACTTACGAAAGGTTAAATCAAAGACGATACACATCGACTCTTCAAATTTATAACATTCTTTTCTAAATGTCGTAAATAGATGTGGATGTATTTAAGAGTTCTGAGAAACTTTCATTGGAAATCCTTGCTTGTCAGATACCAACTTATGCAAATAAAACGTCAAACGATTTTTCGTAAATATCTGAAGAAACGCAGTTTGCGTTATATTGAGGCAAACACTGCCATTTTACATGTGAAGCCTTGTCATAAATACTTTACTCAGAACGTAAGAACTTAGAGCATGTCAACTAATTAGGACTGACATTTTAAATCAAAGGCCAATTTAAGTTTTCATATATTTTTCCCCCCTTGGCGCTACAGCCCCAGTGGGCCTAGGCCTACGTCCATGAACTTCTCCGTTCACTTCGGTTTTTCTCGACCTTACACATTCAGTAGGACTCCTTGGGCGGGTGATCAGCTCGTTGCAAGGCCTCTGCGTGTACACAAACAAAGAAGAACGCGCACACACAAATTAACATCCATGCCCTGAGTGGGATTTGAACCCACGATCCCGGTTTCCAAGCGAGCGAAGACAGTGCATGCCTTAGGCCGCTCGGCTGCCGTGACCGGCAAGTTTTCATATATACCGTATTAACTATAAAAACAAACACTGTGGTTTTAGTCCGCAAGCGAACTATACCGACCGAGAGACCGCTTCTTGTCGGAGAAGTTAGTGCCAACTTTAGCACATAGAGAGTGTCGCGTGGTCAGCTCAACGAATCCCCACGGCCGTTAATTTCGGTTTTCTAGACCGAAGTCTCTATTTCCGTGAAATAGCTCCTCAATTATCCTCACGCGGCTGAGAGGACCCCGTTCCAGACCCACTACTTCTCAGAAAATCTGGTAGCGCCGGGAATCGGACCCGGGACTCTGACTCTGTAGCCAGGAACTCTGACCACTAGACCACAGAGGCGATCGTATTAAATATAACCTCACATAAATTATTTCCTAGTAAATATTATGCATAAACTTAGTACAACGTCATGAAGACGCATGAAGATGTAAAGTTATCTCCACGCCCTCTTTAAGCTCGTATCAAATATAAAGGTTTATTGAAGCTCCGGCCACCATGACTCTGAGGAAAACAGTTGCTGCATCGAATGAATAGGAGGCTGGATTTTGGTTAACTCATTTTGGGCATGTAGAGAACTCAAATTTCAACCATCCAACCCCTCACACTGGAACGTAATAAATTGACAGAAGCTATCTTCTTCATTCCATTGCTCTTTTTTTCCTTGGCACTACAGCCCCAGTGGGCCTAGGTCTACCTCCATGAACTTCTCCGTTCACTTCGGTTTTTCTAGATCTTACACGTTCGGTAGGACTCCTTGGGCGTGTGATTAGCTCGTCGCAAGGCCTCTACCTGTACATAAACACAGAAAAACACACACAAACATCCATGCCCTGAGTGGGATTCGAACCCACGATCCCGGCTTGCGAGCGAGCGAAGGCAGTACATGCCTTAGACCGCTCGGCTACCGTGACCGGCCATTCCATTACTTACTCGTCACAATTCAAAATTCATTCTGCAATTATGAATCTCTTATACATTCAGTAGAATTCCAGAGATACAGTGAACTGGGCCGTCGCTAGACCTCTATCTATACAGAATAACATTAGACAGATAAACGCGGACATAACCTAATGGGATATAATAGTTGATCGAAGACCGTATGCATCTTATGCTATTTTAGTAAAACTATTAACGAAATAAATCCCTTTTTTTGTACATGCTCTTTTGCGAAAATTCAGTAGTGGGT